ATAGAGCCAGAGCTGAGGTAGGGAAGATATAGAACACAGAGCTGAGGTAGGGAAGATATAGAACACAGAGCTGAGGTAGGGAAGGTATAGAACACAGAGCTGAGGTAGGGAATGTATAGAGCACAGAGCTGAGGTAGGGAAGATATAGTACACAGAGCTGAGGTAGGGAAGGTATGGAACACAGAGCTGAGGTAGGGAAAGTATAGAACACAGAGCTGAGGTAGGGAAAGTATAGAACACAGAGCTGAGGTAGGGAAAGTATAGAACACAGAGCTGAGGTAGTTAAAGTATAGAACAAAGAGCTGAGGTAGGGAAAGTATAGAGCACAAAGAAAACACGCCAGCAATCCTGCCATTATGTAAAACAATTACAGGTTCCCGTTTCACACTCATTTGTCAGAATGGTCGTACTTTCCTGGGTAGCTGCTGTCTACCAAACAACATAAAAGACAGCGAACTTTGTATATTCTCAGAAGTGAATGAGACACCAATACCATTGCTTGGGTATAACAGTCTTCATTTTCTTCTTCAGTTCGTCCTCGAAGACGGTAGCAACGACTAGGACAACCATCAGTGCGAGGCCTCCCACCAACCCCCCGACAATAACTCCAGTGTTACCGCCCATCTCAGTCTTGACTTGTATCCTGACAGCATCTCCCCAGCCTGCCGCTGTACTTGCCTGAAAGAGGAAGTGAAACTTAGGTTCGAGCTGCCACTGCCTGATAAATGCTCATCAGGTTTGAGTTGATTTCAATAAAATCAGTTATGGGAATAACATTATATGAAGTGACTTTTTCTTCTCATTTAGCATCACAGAGTATAACATTTAATAATTTATTATCTATTTTCTTTAGTATACCATATAATTTAGTTCTTGCTGCTTTCACCTGCGAGCATAAATGTCACCAGATATATTCAAATTCAAATTCAAAGTTTATTCTCTATAAGGATTACAATGCTGAGTTTACAGAAATTTGGTTATTGTGTGACCCAGAAGTGGTATTCTCCCTCCCCCCCTCCCCCTCCCCCCTCCCCCCTCCCCCTTTATATAATGTAAGTCTCCACAAATCAATATCGATAGCCGTTCAATAATAATAATAATAATAATAATAATAATAATAAGTTTATTATTTTTTTGTAAAGGTTACAATGTGTAATTACAATTTCGATTTGCTAAGTACAAAGATCGCCACTATCATGCCCAGGCATTTCAGGCGAATTTACACAAACAAATCCGAAGTTAATCCGGATCTTTCACTAAGAATTTAATGATAATGTAATATAATAATCTTTATTTACTACCAGTACATGTACAAGGTATACAGTTGACATCAGTGACATACTAGTACACAGAAAGTCGTTTTTTTACTGATGGGTGAATATAAACAACCGGTGTAAGGAAACACGTCGAATGTTTCCACCCCTTCGCCGGGAATCGAACCCGGACCTCGCCGTCTGAGGCGAGAACTTTTGCCAGCAGGCCACGGGGCACCGTGCCCTGGTTGGAGCAAACCAAAAGAGCCGTTCTCAGTTTACCGCACAAAGCTCCTGGAGAACGAAACGTTGCCACAATAAAATATCAAATTGGTTGTGTCTGTGTCCCTTAACTTACCTTCAAAGTAACATCGTAGTGTGAATGTGGACGAAGACCGGAGATTGTGTAGGTGGTGGAGTTAGCTGTGAGGTTGGTGAAGTGACCAGGCCAGGCTAGCTGGTAGGCTGTCAGCTCACCATTAAGCTCTTCGGGTTGAACCCAAGACACAGTCACGCTCTTTATGCTTGAAAACGTTTGGTTAAACTGAGCTGGCATCCCAGGAACTGTCAGTGACAAAAAGAATAAAAATCAAAATTAAACTAATTTTGAATAAATGAATGTATTTCGTTCACGGAGCGATCTGAGAGAAGTATTCCAAGTACTAGACAATGGCAGAGTCCATCAACTGATGTCCTAACTTGTTCAGTGTTCAAATTAGTCCCTTTACAGCTCAAAACCAAGACGATCCTCCTCCAGTGTAAGCATCATATCCACCATTTTTTTTAGAGACCGTTCTAACACAGTGGTTCAACATCTTGTGCCACAAGCACACAAGTTCTAAGGTTCGCTGGACAAGCATAAACAGCCTTGGAAAACGATACGAACTGCTCAGGAATCGAACACGATTTTCAGCCACATTAGTGTTTGTAAATATCTCGGCAAATTGGTCGGAAGCCAGTCATTGTCCCTTGTTCCACTTGGCTTGAACTGAATATTGTAGAATCGGGAATTATAAAACATGATAACCAGTCATTATACAAAAATAGTGGCGGATTGTTCAAATTTGATTCATTTATTGTCGAGGTAATTGTACATTACCAAAAATCTGACTCTTATATGAATGCGTTGGATTGTCTTAAGTGTGGTTCTACACCGAGGAATTAGGGTCCATTTTCCCCACTTGTTTTGTTGGTGGCTAAACCAGTGTCTGCCTTAGAATCTTGTAGGACAGATAAACTATGGCAGTCTTCCTTTGAATAAATTACAGATGTCTCCTTTTAAATGGTCCCATTTTCTAGAAGTGCAAAAATTCCTAAGATAATTGCCAGATCTATCTATATTTGGTATGTAAAGTCATTTACATCAAATCAACCTCAGCCTCAAATCTTGTGAATAGATAAACCATGCATGTCTTCCTTGGAAAAATTTACGGATGTCTCTCCTTAAATGAGTCTCTTGCAAAGGCTGGGACCAAGACTAGTGCCAGAATTGAGAATTACTAAAAAGGAGCTACTTCAAAAAATGTTATCTAACAACCCCCCCAAAACCAAGGGAACATGTTTATAATAGAATAATCAGAACCAACAAAGTAATAGAGATATATTGTGATACACAAATAACCCGCACATAAAAGAGAGAAGCCCACGTCGACGCCCCGGCCCGACTTGGACCATTTAGTTTATTATTTATTTATTTATTTATTATAAATTTGTGCACACATACAGAGGTACAAAAAAATACAGATAAGAGCAGTATGCCAAAGCCACTTATACTATGCATAGCATTACGGGCTGGCTTAAAATTAACTTAAGATTAATTAAGCAATGATGAAGTCAGTGATAAAACATTAATGTAAACAGATTACTATAAAGCACAAGTGAGTATTACAAAGACAGGTCATATGAAGGATTTCTGTTAGTATGTATTTAAAAAATAATAAAGTTAGATTGGGTTTAGGGTTTAACATTTATGTGATATAATTGTGAGAAACATTTTAAGATATACAATTTATAAGGTTCATTATTCAGTATTTATTTGGGTTTTTGGGGGAGTAAGTGATCTTTTTAGTAGAGACTTGAATTTATAAACAGGTAGGTTTCTTTTTATATTTACAGTAATGAATTCCAGATTTTTGGGCCTTTTATGGCATTGAGTTTTTGCATAGTGTGAGATGAACACGAGGAACATCAAAGATGATCTGGCCTTGTGTTATGGTCATGGTTTGTTTGAGGTTGGCAAGGAGATGTTTGAGGGGGGGTTTAATATCAGAGTTAAGTTTTTCTATGTATGTAATAGGTGCAGTAATAAGTATGGATGTTTTGTATGGTAAAGTAGGTTTAGTGTATTGAATATTGGTGGAGTGTGCGCCGTTTTGGAGAATTTGTTATCATTCTAACGCAGCCTTTTTTGGTAATTAGTGGTCTGAGATGGTTAACTGTTGTTGAGCCCCATGCACAAATTCCATAGGTGAGATAGGGTAAATAAGAGAGTGATAATAGGGCCAGGGGGGCTGACTGTGGAACATAGAAACCGTATCTTCGATAGTATGCCTT